ACATACATGGATAATATATAAAAATGCATAAAGTGGCAGACAAAAGAAGTCTTTTGTAATTAACATTGAAGACGTTTGATTTCCAAGTAATTTTTTTTAAAGATTTTTAACCTTGTACTAAATTTTTAAAAAAATTATTTTCTTTAAAACTACTTTAAGGTAAAGGTGAAAAGATTGCTTGGCAGATCCAAAGAGTTTAAACCACTTACAAAATACTATTTTTAAAAGAACAATACAATACACTTATATTTCACCACTTTTTAAAAAATAGTATGTTTTGAACGCCTCAAACAACTAAAAATACTTAGCGTAACAGTTCAGAGAAATCGTCCATGACAATCCATGAGACATTTTGTTTGTACAACACTTATAAATAAATTCTTTTCGTATCTTTGACTAGAAATAAGTTCTCACTGCATGTCAGACCTTAATTAATTCACCTAGTCTAATTATATTCTGCCCATGTAGTACTAAAAAACATCAATACATACAACATGATAACATGACCTATACTATGGAGCATGAAACTCACATTAAGAAGACTGATGCACAAATCAGAAAGTACATTTAAAACAAACAAGACAGCCAACAGGATGAGAAAAAATAAACATTTTAGCAGAAATTGTGTACGCTGTAGGTACAAAAAATATGAATTACAAATTTTCAATTTAAAAAGGAATGGCAAAAAAATTTAATAAATTATGGAATTGCTGTAACAATTTGTTGCCCAACATTCAAACTTTCCAGAGGATCCTATGTATCTCCTCTAAAAAGAAATTTGTTTTACTAAATGTACAGTAAGATCCATCTAAACAACTCACACACACTCAACAATTTGATTAAGTCAAATAAGGGATGTGCTGTATAGATTCTATGATAAATATTTCTTCCAACAAGTCTGAATAACAGGGCTGCATCTTAAACAGCTTAATGTATAAACACTCACAGCAAACAATTAGCTGAAGACAAAGTTTGCAAATAAAAACATTTTCAGTTTGGAAGTTTTGGAATTAAGCACCAAGTATATAAATTGTTTGATATTTGAAAGTATTGGTTTGTACGCTGATTGTGAATCCCAGAGAACATTCCTTTTATCAAAAAAAACTTCCAGAGCTATGTAAATTGAAAAAACTTTAATTTCCACCAAAAGAAGCAATACTTTAGCTTAACAAAAAACAAATGTTTAATCAAGCCTTCACAATAAAGTCTATAAACTTACAATTTGGGATTTTATAATCATTCATACTCTTGTAGGTAGAAACATTACTTATCTATTATGACTTAGTTAATAATTATAAATCAATTTTCCGTACAAATTTTATATTGGTGGTTATAATTATTTACATGATGCTTAACTGTTATCTGGTATTACTGACAAAGAAACATAAAGTATTAGTTTAATTCTTTAATATTATTTCACATGAAGTGACTAAGCAACAGTCAAAAGTATGAATTTTTCAAAAATTTCTTTAAAAGTGGCTATTCATCATAGTTATAACATACAAATGTCTTTATACATTTAAAAGATATTGAATAAATAAAATGTATCAGACTCTGCTTGTGGATGTGCCACAGAGAATCTTAAAGCTAGAGTTGTCATCAGCACCCCTCTCTCAGGGAATAACTCATGTGATACCCAGAAGATAAGCACCCAATGTGTACAGGACTAGCTAAATGTGTACATGCTATCTGCTCTTTTATATATGCAGCATTGTATTTTGTAATACTAAACAACTAAAACAATTACCTCTTGACAGCTAGGATGATGACATAAATTACACTTAAAGATATTTACAAAGTACATTGATGAATTGTGTTTAAACAGTTTGTATGCTTAAACGATGTTCAGATACTTACTAAGAATAGTGTAAGAAAAAAAAACTATTATGATAACATGAATGTACCCTAAATGAAATAAAGGAAAACACGAAACCAAACTTGGAGGATAACTGTACACACTGTAGAAATGATTTAATTTAAACAAGTAGATTGGCCCTTTTTTAACTGCCTTAATTAAACTATGAGAAAAAAGGAAATTAAAGTGTTGTTAAAATCACTTACAAACCTCAATAGAATTTCAGTTAGATCGTGATTTTAAAAAATCATTAATTAGACAAAAAATACTAACATAAAAATGAGCCAGGAATTTTTGTACTTTACAAAGCTTTACATACTATTCCATGTAACATTCAACAAACACACAACAAACACTTAGAACAATTACTGATTATGGTCTTATTGAACAACTCTTCATATAACATTATCAGATAAAAATATACATTGTAAGCATTAAGACATATTACCAAGTTGCCAAATTAAATGCATCTCTAGCAATACTATTAAGTGTAGTTCCTTCACTATATACCAGAGTAAATCAGCCCTCTGTTCAAAGTAGCATTTGCAGAAGGGAAAAAAAGAAACAACACTGCTCATCAGGTTTTAAACTATTGCATTGCAACTACAAATAGAACAATAAGCTTTTAAGATGCCTCTGTATTAAACAGCTGAAAACTAGTGTAAACACCATCTTTATCACAGTAACAATTGATGCCTTAACTTAATGGGCTGTAGAAACTCTACAAGTAGTGAGGGACGTCTTGACCAGTAAGTAGACGGAATATTGAGGTGGGCATCGTCTTCATGTGAATCTGTAATCAAATGTAATAACAGTTGTAAGCTATGTTTTCATGTGAATATGTAATCAAATGTAATAACAGCTGTAAGATATGATTCATGTGAATCTGTAAACAAATGTAATAACAGTTGTAAGATATGTTTTCATGTGAACCTGTAATCATATGTAATAACAGTAGTAAATTAGAACAGAATTAAAAAGTTTTAATTGGAATAAGTTACTTATTGAAGGTTTTTGTTTTCAATTGGACCCAGAATCTCAGAGATTTTACCTAGAACCACCAAGGTCAACAGCCCTGTCTAAATATCTGGAGGATAACAGCTGTATCTAAATGTAAATAAAATGTACCCACCTCTCCCACAGAGCTGGCCAAAAGAGTGACAATTTTCTCATGTGGAACATCCTCCAGTCACATACAGTATAAAACAGTAGCGCAGCTCTGTCTTCATTGAAGTGAAGTGCTATTAAACTCTGCATGAACAATTTGCGTTAAAATTATAATTTCTGTGAACTGTTTGCCAATACGATTTTGTAAAGTGAAAGTGCCATTAAATTCTTTTAAAAATTCTTTTTTTTTGTTTGAGGGAAAGCTTTTGTTTGATTGACTTGATTGAGAAACTTTGAGAGGGAAGATTTGTGCCAGAAAATAGATCTACCACTTTTAGTCTAGCAAGGAAGTTGTAAAATGACTAGGCCTATTAATCTAGATCTAATATATAGCCTACTTAATCTGTCAACCCCAGCTAATTTAGCCACTGTTCGATCTTGCTGAAGACCAATTTAATGACTGCTAAAAAGAAATTATAAACATAGTCCTAGGTTGAAATCTTTGTTCTAATAGCACCAAGATAAATTAAACATCAATTATATTTATACTACAAATCTACTAGATCTAGTCGCATCTACACTTGATTTGAATTTTTTTTAATAGTCTCAGTCATGGACATAAATTATAGGGCCTAGATCTAGATCTAATATTATAGCCCATCTAGAATTCTAGATCTAGAAATAGTAATTTTGGGAATGAAGATTTTTTATCTGTCAGCTTGCAAAAAAAATCGAAATAGTTTGTTGTACCCTCTGCTGGTGTCAGTGATCAATGGATGTATCACATATCTAGATCTAGAATCTTGTTAAGGTGTTAAACTAATTCTATTGAACTCTAATCTAGATCTAGATTGTTAGGTTGTCAGTCTTTCGGTAACTAGTCCATCCGAACCTAAACTTACTAAACTAGATTAGGCCCTAGACTCTAGCAGATTCTAGTTCTTCTGTCTATATTATATATCTATATAGATTCTAGATCTGTGCCTCAACAAATGAATAGTTTTATTTTTATTCTAAACTAGATCTAGATCTAGATCTAAATGCCCGCCTGTGTTATAGATATAGGACAGGCTACTCAGTTTAGTTTATTAGTAAGAGAGTCAGTATGATGGTGTCTTGCATAACGATAGAAAGATACTTAAAAAAGAGAAACGGACATACTACAAAATAAACAAAAATAATAAACAAAAATTAACAATTCTTCGTTGCTAAGCCTAAGGACGGTCCTGGCTTAAGTCCTAAGGCGCCCAAAAGCATATCATATTACAATCGTAGAGCTGGGTCAAATTATTGACGGTATTAGGGGCAGATAATTTAGCTTTTAGACAATTTAAAATTGGAATTACTGAAAAATATAAAATAAAAAAGCTAAATAGTTAAGTGGCGTATGCTACGCCACAGAGGTAATCTATCGTTTTGGGTACGTAAAATCGCCCGCGGCTAGAAATGCGCGAAAAAGTTGCCTCACTGTCAAGGCTTTAATAGAAGTATATTGTGATATATTTGTGTCAAATATTATAGATAAATGAATAATAAACCTAAATCAATGGCTAAATATATCAATATAGACCAGAAATTAACTTTAAATAGCAGTGTTTGCGAGCAAGATTTCCTATATAAACAGCAGCCATTTGTAAAATAGAGTTACCTTCCCCTGAATCTGGCGCTTTAAGTTTGCAAAAAAAGAACTTAAACAAGATGGCTGCTATAGTAAATGAGCATGGTTGCATCTGTTGGAAACATCGCTAGTCTTCATTTATTACTGAAAAGTTTCAATTCAGTTGTTTAAAAACAGGTACATAAATGAAACAAGGAATCATTTTTGTATTTTTCAAAACATATATCCTCCTCAAAATGTGAAATAATTATTAAAATTCAAGGAGTCACCTGTCTTTCACATTACTAGTCGCGGGCGATTTTACGTACCTAAAACGATAGATTACCGCCACAGATAAGCTTGTTTTATATAGTATAGAAATCTAATATTTTTAAAGTATATTATTCATTTTAAAATAAAACTTGTAAGAAGTAAGTAAATGAGGAGTGTCATTATTTGCCCAACTTATGATCGCTTGCCTTATAATCGATTAGAAAGTCTGTTGTTATTTTTGTTCTGAGTGTTGTTGCATTTTGTGTTGTGTTATGACAGTTATGTGTTTGCTGTACCTATGTCACATGTGATTTGTTATTCAGCGTTCTTTTATTTTTTGTTCTATAAACTTTCAAATTTGTTTACATCATTGTCTTTTATTGTGCACGGGTAGAGTACTTTAAATTTAAATCTGGTAACTGTCACAAACAGAGATTTTTTTCAATTCACTATAGGCCTACTTATTATGTACATACCTTTATAATATAATATTGTTTTATCAACTTGTATATTAATATTTCATATTTCCACTATAGGTAACTACTATTTTTTATTTTTCGGAGTGGAATGTTAAATGAGAAAGAAAAAAGTGATGGCAAAGTTGTATTTTTTCTTAGTTCTTATTAGATTTTATTGTTGGTGGGGATCACGCAATACGTCCAACTAATTAAGTATCATGTGGCAGTTGATTCAGACTATGAACATCTGCTGGAAGGCGATTGATTTGAGGGTTTACTTCCCCATCTGATGTAGGAATGGCAAATGTAATCTCTTACAATTATGTTTTATAATAGCTCTACAAAGAATATTTTATAAACTATAAGAAATTAATTTGTATTAAATTCAAACAGGTAAACTGCAATTAATATCAACATTTGACAAACTCACGCTCCATATGATGTCACTACATATTCTGATAGGTTGTACTGGAAGTGTTGCTTCTATCAAGGTTCCAATTTTAGTGCGGGCACTTTTGGAGCATTTTCCTCAGGTAAATGTTAGTTAATTCAAACTAGTTTTATTAGAATTATCAGCAGATTAGGCTTACAATAATATTGATATGCCTACTTCATATACAAACAATGAAATTATTCCATTTTGAACTTCAGTTTTCTGACAATCAAATTAAAAGGTTTAGCATTGGAAATATGGTATACGGACAAAGGCGATAAGAAATAAGGCAGACATCTAAAAGGCTGACTGGACAATAGGCAGACATGGGCGGAAGGCCGATATCAAAAAGGTTTTCTAGACATAAAACTGATAATTTTTATAAATTAACCAACTCCAGTTATAAATGTCTAGTATTTGTTTAAAACAAGCTACACAATAAATAGAAAATATATGTTCTCATATGTTATGCCACATAAAATTGCAAGGGATGTTCTATTGTCACATTCAGCAATCTTCTTTCTGTAAATGCTTTTTCTTTTGTTATTTGGAATGTTCTCCTAGCATAATTGCCTCTGATTGTCGTTGTAGCATGATGTGTGTGTTTTGTGTGTAAATATTACATCGACTGTCAGGTTTATGAAAACCAACTGTTTTCTGTTGTATTTTATCCACCTTAAATACCATAAACATAATTCTGTAGTGTTAATAGCATAGAAAGAGGGTTTAATATGGAAGATTTCTGTGTTATAAAAATCAAGGTGTCTAAGGTCTTCAATCTTTCTAATTTATTATTTTGTATTTTTTTAAATAAAAATCAAACTAACAAATTTGATAGACTTTGCTGATGACTTTATAGAAGTTTTACACATTTGTTTGATTGTGTATAACGTACATCACCAGAATGCAAGTATTATCTTGTAGCCATTTAACATTTAATGCAATCAGTCTACTGCAGTTGATATGGTGGCAGAACATGGTGGTATTGCCATCAACCTGTATAGCATTTTTTGTCTGCAATCTTTGTTGGTCCAATCAAATATTTCTCATCATGTCACTAGAGCCTCATTAAACTTCTAGCAGTGTTGGGGATAATTAAATTATTAGTTATATTCATTTAGCATCCATCATTTTTACCCTTGAAATTAGCATCAAAGCTGTTGCTTTGAGTTGTATAACAGTTAAATGTATATGAATGTATGTTGCGAGTGTGTCTTAAAAAGGCGAGATAAAAATATAAAATATAGTGTGGGTGTGCGCATTCGCGAAAGAAAATAGCAGGCTAACAACATGGCGATGTCTGAAACTGGATGCGAAGCTCTTATGAACCAATAAAATTATAGAAATTACAGGAACAAGGGTTGATTTTTGTTTTTAAGTGTGTGCCATGAAATAGGTAGGAGAAAAGCCTGTGACAAGTTGTAAATAAAAGTCTTCCTTCCACCCTCAGCATTTTAGTTAATTCTTAGTTTTCTTTTTTTTCTATGTTGGTGCAATTAAAACTTGAATTGATAATTTTTCAATAGTCAGAAATCAGAGTTGTCTCAACAGAGCACGCACAACATTTTTTCACTAAAGAGGACATCCCAGTACCTGTTCTCACAGAGAGGGATGAATGGGAGGTAAGTGTACACAGTATAATCCAACATGTTTCTGTAAAGAAGACATCACAACTTTAATTTTGTTGTGTTCCCCATGTAGACAACATAAATGTATGCCACAACCGCCCTCCCACCCCCCTCGTTTTTTTTTAGTTTTTAAGATTAAATCATTTGTCTTTGCAGACCTGGTCTAAAATTCAGGATCCTGTATTACATATAGAATTACGAAAGTGGGCTGATCTGCTTCTAATTGCCCCTCTTGATGCCAACACATTAGCCAAAATTGCTAATGGTATATGTGATAATTTATTGGTAATATATAAAATGATATGGTGGTGATCTTTTTGTCTTTTTAGTCACATTTTAAAATATATATACACTTAAATGCTTGTTATTTTCCGCCTACTTGCTTTTTAATTTTTTAATTTATATCTTACCTCTAAAGGTTTCGGTATAATAAAATACTAACTTTTCTGCAGACTTGTATTGTACGAGCATGGGACAATCAAAGACCTCTCCTTTTTGCCCCAGCTATGAATACATATATGTATGAGCACCCATTAACCTCTAGCCATATACTGTCATTGAAGAGTTTGGGCTACATAGAGATACCATCCATTTCCAAGAAACTTGCTTGTGGAGACACAGGTTAGTAGTTGTATTTTGGGACCCACTTCACAATATAGCTAAAGAAATGCGTGTTTATTATATTTTTATTGCAGTTAAAAGCTAGTTATAAAAAAAAAGGTTTAATTTTTAAATTTAGCAATAATATTATAAAACCAATTTTAACTTATGCCAGAACTATTAATTATTACTAATTTAAAGTACATTTTCAGTACTTTTTCAAATACTATATTGTGTTCAGCACTTTTTTCCTTGACATTAAGTGTGGGGTATTTGAGAGGGACTAGTCTTTGGGATTATTCTGCCCTTATATACCAGCTTTTAATCTGAAATTAAATAATTTTTATCAACTATATTATTTGTAAATATATTCTCCAAGAGTATTAATTATTAAGCAAATAATTTCCAAGGTTATGGAGCTATGGCAGAGGTATCAACATTGGTGTCTGCTGTAGAAAGTGCTGTAGTTCAAGTTCCAGCTTCAGCCCAACTTACATAAATCTTCCAATTTCTGGTCACAACCATGGTTGTGACTTTTAACTTTAAAAAAAAAATTGTTTTTGTGCATTTAAAAGTGTGTTAAAAAGTCTTTTATAATTGTTTTTTTTTAAAATAAATCTTGGGTATCATTCCCATCTCTTCCTGTCAACAGCCTTACTAATTTAACAAATCAGCATTCCAGATCTGTTGTTTGAATTGTCTATTCATATATCAGTTTAAGTTTGGATTTTCACAAATATTGAGATGTTCTGGTCTATTTTTAATTTTTGTTAAGTGATTATATTTGTTATGTAAATAAAATGTACACAATTTCTATGTAATTTGTTAATGATACCAATAATGTACTTTTTTTAAAGATAATAAAAGTCATTTGATGTTTCCTATTTAACTAATTATTCCTTGTTCATTTCCTTTGCAGTGCTTTTATATTATTTTTATGCATCAAGATAACTAGTAAATGGGCTGAATCCCACCATAATCATTATTAACATATCTAATGAAAAGTTTCAAAAACATTAATGTAAGAAAAAAAAATTAAAATTTTTATTTAAAAAAACATTACTGACTTTGTGTGTAGGATTTAGTTAATTAGACTTTAAGAGAAATAAAACTTCATTTCCAACCAAAATGTTTTTAAATGACATTTTATGCTTGTCCAATTGATCCAACAGATAACATGGATGATATCTATCATGTTCAAATAGTCACAAAAGTTGTTTTTTTTTTTTTTTTGAGCTCTTTTATTAGAGGACATTCCTTAACCACAAATATGAGCAGTGTTCAGAAAACAAACATTTAACACACATTTTAGATTAATAAGTAAACAAGTACAGTGGGTAACTAATATCATAAACAAAATGGCTATTTAGTTCTTTAACTCTTGACTGCCTAAAGAGTTCAGCCTATTTATTCAATTTTAGAATTTTGAACTCCTCTCAAAAATGAAACACTTTCTATGGTTAATTACAGGGCACATAATTACTGAAAAAATATTATTTAAAAAAAGTACATGAATACAATATTGCACCAAGTTTAATGTAAAAGCAATTTTTTTAAATCACAAGCGCATATGTTACATCCGTTTATGTTATGCTATATTTCAAGATATTGAAAAATCAAAGTTACACAAATCATACAAGTTAAAGAATTTTGAACAAAGATCACGCCATTGTTTATCCTTTGCCGTACAAAACAGATCAATTAAAATAAAATACAGTATTTTTTTAGAAGTAGGCAAGGACAAAAGTCTGTTCATGTAAATGTTAATTTGTAAGTTGAAGCATTTAACTTTTTTTTAAAAGTATAAGTGCATGCACATTTTTAACCAATACAATAAAATTAGGGAAATTAATGTTTCCTTATAAAGATTGCATTTGTTTCATAAACCTCTTATACTGGTCTCTCGCACATATGTTTATTTTACAAACAAAAAATCAATTTACAATGATTTTATACCACATACATGGATAATATATAAAAATGCATAAAGTGGCAGACAAAAGAAGTCTTTTGTAATTAACATTGAAGACGTTTGATTTCCAAGTAATTTTTTTTAAAGATTTTTAACCTTGTACTAAATTTTTAAAAAAATTATTTTCTTTAAAACTACTTTAAGGTAAAGGTGAAAAGATTGCTTGGCAGATCCAAAGAGTTTAAACCACTTACAAAATACTATTTTTAAAAGAACAATACAATACACTTATATTTCACCACTTTTTAAAAAATAGTATGTTTTGAACGCCTCAAACAACTAAAAATACTTAGCGTAACAGTTCAGAGAAATCGTCCATGACAATCCATGAGACATTTTGTTTGTACAACACTTATAAATAAATTCTTTTCGTATCTTTGACTAGAAATAAGTTCTCACTGCATGTCAGACCTTAATTAATTCACCTAGTCTAATTATATTCTGCCCATGTAGTACTAAAAAACATCAATACATACAACATGATAACATGACCTATACTATGGAGCATGAAACTCACATTAAGAAGACTGATGCACAAATCAGAAAGTACATTTAAAACAAACAAGACAGCCAACAGGATGAGAAAAAATAAACATTTTAGCAGAAATTGTGTACGCTGTAGGTACAAAAAATATGAATTACAAATTTTCAATTTAAAAAGGAATGGCAAAAAAATTTAATAAATTATGGAATTGCTGTAACAATTTGTTGCCCAACATTCAAACTTTCCAGAGGATCCTATGTATCTCCTCTAAAAAGAAATTTGTTTTACTAAATGTACAGTAAGATCCATCTAAACAACTCACACACACTCAACAATTTGATTAAGTCAAATAAGGGATGTGCTGTATAGATTCTATGATAAATATTTCTTCCAACAAGTCTGAATAACAGGGCTGCATCTTAAACAGCTTAATGTATAAACACTCACAGCAAACAATTAGCTGAAGACAAAGTTTGCAAATAAAAACATTTTCAGTTTGGAAGTTTTGGAATTAAGCACCAAGTATATAAATTGTTTGATATTTGAAAGTATTGGTTTGTACGCTGATTGTGAATCCCAGAGAACATTCCTTTTATCAAAAAAAACTTCCAGAGCTATGTAAATTGAAAAAACTTTAATTTCCACCAAAAGAAGCAATACTTTAGCTTAACAAAAAACAAATGTTTAATCAAGCCTTCACAATAAAGTCTATAAACTTACAATTTGGGATTTTATAATCATTCATACTCTTGTAGGTAGAAACATTACTTATCTATTATGACTTAGTTAATAATTATAAATCAATTTTCCGTACAAATTTTATATTGGTGGTTATAATTATTTACATGATGCTTAACTGTTATCTGGTATTACTGACAAAGAAACATAAAGTATTAGTTTAATTCTTTAATATTATTTCACATGAAGTGACTAAGCAACAGTCAAAAGTATGAATTTTTCAAAAATTTCTTTAAAAGTGGCTATTCATCATAGTTATAACATACAAATGTCTTTATACATTTAAAAGATATTGAATAAATAAAATGTATCAGACTCTGCTTGTGGATGTGCCACAGAGAATCTTAAAGCTAGAGTTGTCATCAGCACCCCTCTCTCAGGGAATAACTCATGTGATACCCAGAAGATAAGCACCCAATGTGTACAGGACTAGCTAAATGTGTACATGCTATCTGCTCTTTTATATATGCAGCATTGTATTTTGTAATACTAAACAACTAAAACAATTACCTCTTGACAGCTAGGATGATGACATAAATTACACTTAAAGATATTTACAAAGTACATTGATGAATTGTGTTTAAACAGTTTGTATGCTTAAACGATGTTCAGATACTTACTAAGAATAGTGTAAGAAAAAAAAACTATTATGATAACATGAATGTACCCTAAATGAAATAAAGGAAAACACGAAACCAAACTTGGAGGATAACTGTACACACTGTAGAAATGATTTAATTTAAACAAGTAGATTGGCCCTTTTTTAACTGCCTTAATTAAACTATGAGAAAAAAGGAAATTAAAGTGTTGTTAAAATCACTTACAAACCTCAATAGAATTTCAGTTAGATCGTGATTTTAAAAAATCATTAATTAGACAAAAAATACTAACATAAAAATGAGCCAGGAATTTTTGTACTTTACAAAGCTTTACATACTATTCCATGTAACATTCAACAAACACACAACAAACACTTAGAACAATTACTGATTATGGTCTTATTGAACAACTCTTCATATAACATTATCAGATAAAAATATACATTGTAAGCATTAAGACATATTACCAAGTTGCCAAATTAAATGCATCTCTAGCAATACTATTAAGTGTAGTTCCTTCACTATATACCAGAGTAAATCAGCCCTCTGTTCAAAGTAGCATTTGCAGAAGGGAAAAAAAGAAACAACACTGCTCATCAGGTTTTAAACTATTGCATTGCAACTACAAATAGAACAATAAGCTTTTAAGATGCCTCTGTATTAAACAGCTGAAAACTAGTGTAAACACCATCTTTATCACAGTAACAATTGATGCCTTAACTTAATGGGCTGTAGAAACTCTACAAGTAGTGAGGGACGTCTTGACCAGTAAGTAGACGGAATATTGAGGTGGGCATCGTCTTCATGTGAATCTGTAATCAAATGTAATAACAGTTGTAAGCTATGTTTTCATGTGAATATGTAATCAAATGTAATAACAGCTGTAAGATATGATTCATGTGAATCTGTAAACAAATGTAATAACAGTTGTAAGATATGTTTTCATGTGAACCTGTAATCATATGTAATAACAGTAGTAAATTAGAACAGAATTAAAAAGTTTTAATTGGAATAAGTTACTTATTGAAGGTTTTTGTTTTCAATTGGACCCAGAATCTCAGAGATTTTACCTAGAACCACCAAGGTCAACAGCCCTGTCTAAATATCTGGAGGATAACAGCTGTATCTAAATGTAAATAAAATGTACCCACCTCTCCCACAGAGCTGGCCAAAAGAGTGACAATTTTCTCATGTGGGACAGCCACCACACTCTGGTTGTTGATCTCAATAATTCTATGCCCCACTCTTACGCCTCCACGCTCAGCAATGCCTCCCCTAAGCAGACTGCAAATCTGGTCAAAATAAAAGTAAGGTGCTGTTTATAGAATTTAAAATACACCAATGTTTATACTTGAGCATAATATTTGTAATCAAGAGCTAAATATTGAATTTAGTGTCATCTAGACCTGCCTTACTAATCTAATGTGTGTGTAAACTCATGTTACCTATCTAATATCTATATAAATTTGTAATAATTTACACAATGAGGTTAAAGATATATTGCAACAGTTTGAAAACAAAGCCCAATACAGAAATCTTATACAATTTAAAATGTATGAAAATAGTCACAAAACTTCACTGTATGTCATGGATGTAATCCACCTATTTTGATTTTCAAATATCAGCTTATGCATAGGATTTAGTCAAGCAATTAGGCCTTGATATATGACCCCTCTTCCTATTATACAACAGGGGTACAAATAATGGATTGGCATTTAAATTGATTATCAGAACCCTGATTGTAAGGTAACAAAGTTTCCCCTCAATAAATGTAATGATTTATCATTTATATTTTTAATATTACATTACATAGCTGCTTGTATGACATATTTGTAGTAGCGTTCTAATACTACTATAATAGACACATTCAACAATGCATAACAGGAACTACACTTTTTATTTTACTGCCTCCATTTTTTTTTCTCTATTTTGTATTCCACCCATGACATGAACAAAGGCATGTAAATCCAGACATTCAGTTAAAGTTAAATTAATTTTTTAGAGAAATTCTACACATTTCTAAACCAATAACAACCTATGACTCTGCTCTGGACACTATCATCAAACTATTTTTAAATGAAGTGAAGTAAGTCCTAAACCTTAAGGCCCGAAAATGGGGATGGATCGGACACACGTTAAGAAAAGAAAAAGAAAACATCGCAAAACAAGCATTGGACTGGAATCCCCAGGGGAAAAGGAGGGTGGGCCGGCCAAAGAAAACATGGAAGAGAACGGTTGAGGAAGAGGCAAAAACAGCTGGGCTCTCATGGGCACAGATCATAGGAGCAGCCCAAAACCGAGTCCACTGGAGATGTGTGGTTGCAGCCCTTTGCTCCCCAGGGGCCATAAAGGAGTGATGATGATGATGATGAAGTCCTAAACCACTTCCTACTTACCACTCCATTCTGGACACTAAATCCCAGCTGATACTTGACATCTGGCCTCTTGATTAACACCTCAACAACTGGTGGACATGGGACAACAGTCAGCTTTACAACAGTTTGTGAGCGAGATGCCTGTCAAATAAGTTCATCATTCTGTTAATGCTCATCTCATTACAAATGACAAAACATTTTACAGAGACAACAAAAAGGCTTGGATAAGGGTTACTTTAGTTGTATGGAAGAGGAGGATGACTTGAGATAAGCAACCTGCCAACCTCTCTAACTACACAGTGGCAGCCATCTTTATAGGGTTGTCCTCTATATCATGTCTTTTGATTTTTTCTTCATTGGCTCTGTGGATTTTAGGTGATGGTCTGTCTCTGGTAGCTGGCTTCCTCAGTGTATGGTCAATTTAAATTTCATCCTCAGCAGGTCATTACTGTGTTAGCTGCCACTCCAGTAGGTCATTACTGTGTTAGCTGCTACTCTAGAAGGTCATTACTGTGTTAGCTGCCACTCCAGCAGGTCATTACTGTGTTAGCTGCTACTCTAGTAGGTCATTACTGTAAGCTGCCACTCCAGCAGGTCATTACTGTAAGCTGCCACTCCAGCAGGTCATTACTGTGTTAGCTGCCACTCCAGCAGGTCATTACTGTGTTAGCTGCCACTCCAGCAGGTCATTACTGTAAGCTGCCACTCCAGCAGGTCATTACTGTAAGCTGCCACTCCAGCAGGTCATTACTGTAAGCTGCCACTCCAGTAGGTCATTACTGTGTTAGCTGCTACTCTAGTAGGTCATTACTGTGTTAGCTGCCACTCCAGCAGGTCATTACTGTAAGCTGCCACTCCAGCAGGTCATTACTGTGTTAGCTGCCACTCCAGCAGGCCATTACTGTGTCAAGTGCTACTCCAGCAGGTCATTACTGTGTTAGCTGCCACTCCAGCAGGTCATTACTATGTTAGCTGCCACTCCAGCAGGTCATTACTATGTTAGCTGCCACTCCAGCAGGTCATTACTATGTTAGCTGCCACTCCAGCAGGTCATTACTATGTTAGCTGCCACTCCAGCAGGTCATTAATATGTTAGCTGCCACTCCAGCAGGTCATTAATATGTTAGCTGCCACTCCAGCAGGTCATTACTATGTTAGCTGCCACTCCAGCAGGTCATTACTATGTTAGCTGTCACTCCAGCAGGTCATTACTATGTTAGCTGCCACTCCAGCAGGTCATTACTGTGTTAGCTGCCACTCCAGCAGGTCATTACTGTGTTAGCTGCCACTCCAGCAGGTCATTACTATGTAAGCTGCCACTCCAGCAGGTCATTACTATGTTAGCTGCCACTCCAGCAGGTCATTACTGTGTTAGCTGCCACTCCAGCAGGTCATTACTATGTTAGCTGCCACTCCAGCAGGTCATTAATGTGTTAGCTGCCACTCCAGCAGGTCATTAATGTGTTAGCTGCCACTCCAGTAGGTCATTACTGTGTTAGCTGCCACTCCAGCAGGTCATTACTGTGTTAGCTGCCACTCCAGCAGGTCATTACTGTGTTAGCTGCCACTCCAGCAGGTCATTACTATGTTAGCTGCCACTCAAGCAGGTCATTAATGTGTTAGCTGCCACTCCAGCAGGTCATTAATGTGTTAGCTGCCACTCCAGTAGGTCATTACTGTGTTAGCTGCCACTCCAGTAGGTCATTACTGTGTTAGCTGCCACTCCAGCAGGCCATTACTGTGTTAGCTGTCACTCCAGTAGGTCATTACTGTGTTAGCTGCCACTCCAGCAGGTCATTACTGTGTTAGCTGCCACTCCAGTAGGTCATTACTGTGTTAGCTGCCACTCCAGCAGGCCATTACTGTGTTAGCTGTCACTTAAGTAAATATTTCCTGTACTGCTTTTTTAAAAATACTGAATGGTAGATCAATTCAAGTTCCAGTTTTTAATTGCATGAAGACTATCTTACTTTACATCTCCTTATATTTATATCTAAGCTTTGTGTAGGTACTTCCCTTCAAGTCTTATAGGAGTGTTGTTGGTTGATTATACATTTATCTATACAGATGTTGAGACATATGTTGCATTAATATGTAGTTCTCTTATGCTTAAGTTTTAGGTAAATGTAAGTTTAACCTGTAGCCAGTTATATAAGCAGACTACTTGCCTTGATGTAAGTCTGGCAAGCTGACAATGGGAGCCCGACCAAGCTGATCCCATTGATAGAAATAATCTGATCCCCAATGTTGAGCTGACCACATCGGGCAGCAGGTCCTGTGGGCAACATGTTAGCCAGGACAACGGTTGGAACCATAGAACCCCAGCCAGACTCCACAATCACCACACCCAACGGCTCGTTCTTTGACTTGGGCACAATCACCTGCAAATAAGATATCAAACTCTTATTACAACTATTTTTCAACATTTGTATTTCTTGTTTACGAAAATGTAACTGTTATTCTTATAAATTCAAAGCATTTAATTTTCTTTAATACCCAAGTATGACTTTGTATTTTTGATCCATTTATTACTTAGACACATCTTAAAATGATCTCAATATCAGACCCTCTAATTATCAGTCTTTATTATAAACATGTAAAATACTCATATACTTACAAGTAGCCAGCATAGAGATTTACTATAGCTAAAAGCTACTTAAATACCACGGAAAAATGTTTAAGAAAAAACTCACCTCCTTGTGAAAATCCTTGTTTGCAAAGAGATTAAGCTCCTCGCCATATATCTCTTGTTGGTTGAGCACATCTTGGTAGTCCATCTCTTTGAGTAGGCCGGGATCTTCGATGCCATTGGCCTTGAGGAACTCCAGGTATGCCACCTGGAATGCTTGACCGATTGACTGGGCAATGAGTTGGGCCTGAGGAGTAACAACAAAAGTATCAACATTAATTATGCAGATGAAAGGATTACTAAGTCAGAGAAAGTAAAGGGTGACCCTATCCCATCATCCATTTCTGCCCACAGAAATAGGTTTACTCTTCTTCACCTGTCATAGATAATGTCCATCACCTTTTGAGGTGACAACAACTTTTAATATTCATACATTTTGACAGATATTGCTGTCTGGAAAATGTGAACAAAATGCATAAAAATGCCTAACATTGAATTTAATTTAATTGTTTTAATCAATTTCTATTCTAAAAGTATGGCTTAATTTAACATGTACAAAATAAACACGCCAACAAATAGAATGAAGCATTTTTTTTCTAACAGAAAATTACAAATTGTTGAGGAAGCACTTTGCCGGCAATATTTGTAATAGTTTCAACCTGCGTGCGACTGAGAGGGGGGGGGGGGGTAATGTGTTTGGCTTCAAGCGGGAGTGAGGGATATTGTTATGTTAATGACAACTAATTGTGAGCGATATAGCTCGTTTATCAGGCAATGGGCATAATACCATGATCCATAATTTATTGCACGTCAATTAGTGAAATGTAAAAAAAATTTGGCTTTTCTTTTTAATTGAAGGATATCTAAATCTAGTTAATATACATTATTTCTCATCTAGCAGGCGAGCTAAGCCTTTAAGAGTCGTACAAATGTATAAAAGGCAGCGTATAGAATACCCAGTGCACGCCTACAAGGTCATTGTTTTCGTCTCAACTACACACGGCAGCAGGCCGTTAACATCATCCCCGTCAACTGGCTACATTGTATCACCGCTGCCGCTATACGTCACCGTCAACTGGCTACATTGTATCACCGCTGATACTATAAGTCACCGTCAACTGACTACATTGTATCACCGCTACCACTATAAGTCACCCTCAACTGGCTACATTGTATCACCACTATAAGTCACCGTCAACTGGCTACATTGTATCACCGCTGCCGCTATACGTCACCGTCAACTGGCTACATTGTATCACCACTATAAGTCACCGTCAACTGGCTACATTGTATCACCGCTGCCGCTATACGTCACCGTCAACTGGCTACATTGTATCACCACTATAAGTCACCGTCAACAGGCTACATTGTATCACCGCTTCCACTATACGTCACCGTCAACTGGCTACATTGTATCACCACTATAAGTCACCGTCAACTGGCTACATTGTATCACCACTATGAGTCACCGTCACCTGGCTACATTGTATCACCGCTGCCACTATAAGTCACGGTCAACTGGCTACATTGTATCACCGCTGCCACTATAAGTCACGGTCAACTGGCTACATTGTATCACCGCTGCCACTATAAGTCACCGTCAACTGGCTACATTGTATCACCGCTGCCACTATACGTCACCGTCAACTGGCTACATTGTATCACCGCTGCCGCTAAAAGTCACCGTCAACTGGCTACATTGTATCACCGCTGCCACTATAAGTCACCGTCAACTGGCTACATTGTATCACCACTATAAGTCACCGTCAACTGGCTACATTGTATCACCGCTTCCGCTATACGTCACCGTCAACTGGCTACATTGTATCACCGCTGCTACTATAAGTCACCGTCAACTGGCTACATTGTATCACCGCTGCCGCTATACGTCACCGTCAACTGGCTACATTGTATCACCGCTGCCGCTAAAAGTCACGGTCAACTGGCTACATTGTATCACCGCTGCTACTATAAGTCACCGTCAACTGGCTACATTGTATCACCGCTGCCGCTAAAAGTCACGGTCAACTGGCTACATTGTATCACCACTGCCACTATAAGTCACCGTCAACACTATTCCCATTAATTATTTCCTGTAGATTTCGCAGCCTGTGCAGTACACGTCACAGCATTCTATTTTTATCCAGACCGTTGGATCACGTGGTCTTGTGTAACATCTGATTGAGAGCAGCAACTATTTATGTTAGTAAGAAACTGCCCGAGCTGTTGAGTAGTGCTCAGCGGTGTGGCCTATCAGTATCAAACGATATGTTGCGGTTGATTGGTGTTTGGCGGCGTATGGACAATGGTCGGCGGTTTGTGACAGGCTGTAAAATGTGACAGGCTGTAAAATGTGACAGGCTGTAAAATGTGACAGGCTGTAAAATGTGACAGGCTGTAAAATGTGACAGGCTGTAAAATGTGACAGGCTGTAAAATGTGACAGGCTGTAAAATGTGACAGGCTGTAAAATGTGACAGGCTGTAAAATGTGACAGGCGGTAAAATGTGACAGGCTGTAAAATGTGACAGGCTGTAAAATGTGACAGGCTGTAAAATGTGACAGGCGGTAAAATGTGACAGGCGGTAAAATGTGACAGGCTGTAAAATGTGACAGGCTGTAAAATGTGACAGGCTGTAAAATGTGACAGGCTGTAAAATGTGACAGGCTGTAAAATGTGACAGGCTGTAAAATGTGACAGGCGGTAAAATGTGACAGGCTGTAAAATGTGACAGGCTGTAAAATGTGACAGGCGGTAAAATGTGACAGGCGGTAAAATGTGACAGGCTGTAAAATGGGACAGGCTGTAAAATGTGACAGGCGGTAAAATGTGACAGGCTGTAAAATGTGACAAGCTGTAAAATGTAACAGAGGGGGTGGGGGAGCTGTTAACAAATGTGTCATCACATGACGTGTTTGCTGCTACTTCGTATAGTTAAACTCGCTCAAATAATGTACTTTTTAAAAAATAAACGACAGCACAAGAAGTCTACTTTTCTGATTCTAATCTTTATCAAATGAGTGAATCGCTGTAGGCTGTGAGAATTCAAATTAATTAACACTTGGTTATGATTAATGCAGGATGGGCTGGGGAAGGGGGGGGGGAATCGGAACGCGTAGAATTTTTTTTCCACGAACTTACCTATTAACATTGTTAGATGTAAGTGTATGGTGGAGTGAACACTTTCTGTTACTGGATTATCTGGGGCTACCCGAGTATCTTAGGGTTTTACTATAATTATACATTATATAATAGTACTACTTAGTACATTGGCATACGTAGCGGGGAGCTTAAAATAAAGTTGTGGGGGATTTTTTTTTAATCCCTGTACGACATTTTAAAAATCCAGTTTTTAGTCTACCATTTAATTCAATAGAGGAATATTGAGGACGTGCATCAGGAAATATAGAGAGCTGTAATGACGGCGGCCGTAGCAGATTGAACTCGGTTTTGATTGAATTCATCAACAGCCAAACTCGAGGATGGCTGGCGTGTTGACACAGGACACACGTCGGCAGACGATGGGAGCCACAAAGGATGCTGAGAGGGACGTGTGTAAAGATTAAGGGAAATATAGGAGTGGTAGACTTGCTTGTTTTAACAGCTTTTCGGGTTTGTGGGTCGCTGGTGGCTGGGTTGACAGGATGCTGGGTTGGCTGGTTATTAGGTTGGATAGTTGGTTAAATAAAATTACAATAAAAGCTACAATGTCCGCTTCTTCGTCTGCGAGTGAGGTTTGTGGTAAAATATTGCAACTTAGCTTTGCAACAATTTACTTCGAAATTTCCATATTCAGTCGATTCCGATGACAACGCAAAAATATTTCATATTCAATGTAGTTAGCAATTTAATTATTCATAAAAAAGTGTCGACTCGAGAGCGTTAGGCTTGAAAAAAACAAATAATTAGTTTCACATAGATCTATAAACCGATTTTTAAAAAAAAACGTTTTCTAAGCGCAAAAATATATATATATATATATATATATATATATATATATATATATATATATATATATATATATATATATATATATATATATATATATATATATATATATATATATATATATATATATTATTAAAAATAAAGCGTTGGTTGCAAAATTATTTGAAAATATTTTTGGATTTATTTTTACCACATCTAAGCTGAAGAAAGTTTATGCTTATTTTCTCATTTTCAGTTTATTCAAAAGCTTATTATTATAAAGGTGTTTCTACTTGATTTATTGCGATTTCAGCAACCAATACCGTAATATATTTAAAGCATTTTAACTCAAAATAAAAGTATAATCTTGTACGGACTTTTGATAATAACTTTTGATAAAACTTAAAAACAAAGCTACGCAGATCAATTTGCGCAGAAAAACTTTACTTAGTTGTAGACTTCTAAACACGAATTACTAGATTCTAAATCCTCTAAATGATCATCATTTCAATGAAAACTACAACACGATATGATTTCGCTTTCTTAATATGAATCATTACCTTACGGTGGAACACTTGAGGAGATGCATGCGTCAAGTTCACATGGGACAGGCGTCAAAGCGCTGTAATTGACGGGTAAGCACGGGGGATGTGCTAGCGACCAAGGGACCCCAACTTGTGCAGCGTCCCACTCCATGAGGCCGTATTTAGTTTCCCGGTACCTGGACACGACCCCACGATCCCCCACGGCAAACATTGCAGCTTGCGTGCGCCACATTCCGGCCTGCCTCCTCGAAATTTGGTCAAGATCAAGGGAGGATCAGCCGTGGCCGCTCGCAGGGGGAAAACTGTATTGTGCCGGAGTGTCAACACTAATGTCCGGCACAAAGTTGGGATTTGGTGGTCAACGCGATGCATGACCAGATACTGATTCTAATGGACTTCAGGGATCAGGCATTCAAAAGTAGTAGATACAGACTCATTCAAGAGAAACGTCAGATCTTAATTGCCAGCTGTTAGGTCAATTAACTTAACACGGCCTTTATAACATAGCTCCTATTAACAGTGTAGTGTACATATGGTCAACAGCAGTTATTCAGATACACATCTTTAAGCATATATATAAAATTATATTATATATATATATATATATATATATATATATATATATATATATATATATATATATATATATATATATATATTCATACATACATACAACATGCAAGGAATAATGTACTACGACGTTTGATGGCTGCATCAGTGAAAACTAACATTAAAAATAGATTTTAAATGTATATGACTCATTATTTTTCTCATCAAGAACAAGACGCAGACAAAACTTATATGCAATACTAATTACAATTTAATTCTTAATTTTAAAAAAAAACTCTTAAAACTGAACCACTAATGTAGAGCTTAAAAAAAAGAGCCCAGACTATTTCATGGGAAACTAACTCGACTATTTGATTTCAGCTTAACGATCTCCTAGGAATGCTTAATTATTGGACTGAACCAACGTAACAGTAAAAAAATCAGCATTGGCGGCTTTAACTATTTGCTCACATCATCAGAGGAGGGGAAAACGGTAGAACACATTACGTGAGTTCAGCGTCACCCGATGTGGGAACACGTGTGTCAGTGAGTGTTTGTGTGTTAATGCGTAGACTAATAGAGAAACTGACCACTAGGTCACAGTGTTTTATTTACACTGTGTAGTTAGAGACCGTTTTACACGGTGTAGCTAGAGACAGATTTACAGAGTCAGTGTGCTTTTGAAACACACGTCATATAAAGACCGTGATGTCACAAAACGCAAGCAGGTGACTCACACACACAGCCCTGAGTGAATCCTGTATTAAATTATCTACACGTGTGTTATGGATGTGAGCTGAACGTATACACATTAACAAATGTTAATCAGTTGTGAAGACATGTGTGTTTGAGACCATCCGTTTACCAACCAGCATAACGTTACAGTTTTCACCGCCACTAAACATTGGGGTGAGCAGATTAGCCGGGAGGGTGGGTGGGGAGGTTTCTGTCGCCCTGCATCCAGTAACGCCCCAACCGTTAGATCTACGGTAATTGTATTAACAAAACCAATAACCTTCCAAAGCAGCTAGTTTTCCCCTTCCAATATGTGCTCGTGGGTTTTCAATATAAAAAAAAAGATTTAATCAGCGATCTTGATCTGTACAAGCGTGACTAGCCACGGGCACGCTGGCATGGGGAGTTGGGGGGGGGGGGGGGGGGGGGTCTTAATGTGTAGATGGATAAAACCAATTTTGACACAGACAAATGTTTTCTGTGCTTTAGATGCATAAAACAAATCTTGACACAGACTAATGATTCCTGTGTTTGGCTGATCCAGAGTGACCTTTAAGTTCAACGTTTAGAAACTCACTACCAACAGCAGCTCCCCGACAATGATAATTTTAGATCAATTTAAACAAACAGAAAACATTGCCCCCAAGACTTTAAACTGGTAAAGCCCCCCCCCCCCCCCCCCCCCCATCAAACCGTGTCCAGCAAGATTCTGAAGACACACACACCCACGCCGTTGAGTGTCTAGATAAACAACTTCATTACAATATAGCTATTAAAAAAAGTATAACTAACCTTTTCTCCATCAAAAAACCTGTTTCAGATTGCTAGTCGAGCGGCATTAGGGCTCACAACATGCTGCGCTTTAAAGTGTTTTCATTCATATTTTATTGATATCTTCGGCCACGTACTGTTTCCTCTTGATTTTAGAGGCGATTTCCCCCTCCCCTTCCTCGGAACTATACAGCGGTTCGAGCGAAACGAGGGGAAACAATAACGCCGATCAATATCTAACGATTGATACTCGCTTTTAAACTTCAAAGTCACAACTTAAGGCAAGCGTAACTGTGTTGCTGGCATATATTAGGTTAAATTCTCTCCTGTGCTCAAGTTTGTTTATTGTATGTTGACGCGAGGATATGGATTATTGGGAATCTGGAGTGGCTCCGATCAGTATCGAAAAACGAGCGATTCCAAAATACTTGCAATGACTTCGATACAGAAGGGGGAGAGGGGTCCTGGAGTAGCTTTAATTAGAATCGAGAAGTGAGCGATTCCAACAAACGTGGAGCTAATTTCAGACAACACTAGAATGGATATAATGTGTGTTGTTGTTGTTTTTTTCACCCACTCACGTAGTTTATCTATTATTTTGAAAGCCGTAAAACAACTAGTCTCATCTAATCTATTCCTGTTTAAAAAGATTATACCGGCAACCAATTACAATTCATACTCTTCGTCTTTTTTTTTCAAGCACTGTTATTATTTTCGTTCAGTAGTGTATGGGCGAAAGACACAATGCTCTACCGCCCAAAAAGGGCTTTTGACCAGCTACACAACCATTCTCCTCTTGGACTTGTCCGCGGTCTTCTTTTAGTCATAACTTGACCACACACTTATATATACATCATTTTATATGCACACACAAATGTATGCTGCTCCGTCCAAGAGACGTCTCTTGCAGACTTTTTTTTATCCGAGGGGGAGCACTTGAAACAGACTTAATTCTTCGGGGGGATAACTTAACTACCCCCTCCCACCACCACCACCACCACCACCGAAGAGTGGCCCATAATAAACACGTCCTACTATTATAAACACGTCCTACTATTATAAACACGTCCTACTATTATAAACACGCCCTACTATTATAAACACGCGCTACTATTATAAACACGCGCTACTATTATAAACACGCCCTACTATTATAAACACGTCCTACTATTATGAACACGTCCTACTATTATAAACACGTCCTACTATTATAAACACGTCCTACTATTATAAACAAGTTCTACTATTATAAACACGTCAAACTATTATAAACACGTCAAACTATTATAAACACGTCCTACTATTATAAACACGTCCGACTATTATAAACACGTCCTACTATTATAAACACGTCCTACTATTATAAACACGTCCTACTATTATAAACACGTCCTACTATTATAAACACGTCCTACAATTATAAACACGTCACACAACCATCACGCCACACGACATCCAAGACGACCACCACTGAGCCGTCAAAGACAGGAAACGCTGTCTACTAAAACAAAGGGCAGGAACCATTAGCTCTCACTACATTATGCTATCATAGTTTATGACATCTATTGTGATCGTGAAGGGGAGAATCGACCTAGAGCACAGCCAATCTATACACAGAAACGTGTTGTTTCTTGCTGTGCCTCTTGTCTCATTTATCATTAGTTCAGCCAGACAATTATAACAGATGAAAATGTATGTGATGTTTTAAACACAAAATCTAAAAGTAAAAGCTTAAAAATGGTTTTTAAGTATTTTTTTTATCCCAGTATAAGAAAAATACAAAAGGCTGAAGTATCTTCAAAATTCAATTTCAAAAACATTTTCTTTAACCGTCTGAAAAATGATATCCCTGAGTCCTCCCAGCTCAGATGGTACCTGACTCACATTTACAGGCAGCTTGGCATACTGCTAACCACACTATCCCTTCATAAGCCAATGTCACTGAAACAAGTGCACTCTACTTCACCTGCCCAAATATTTTTTACGGACAACTCCAAATATAAATAGATATAATTGTATTAGTGCCAATCTAACATTTTAATTATTTAAATGACCATTGTAAGCTATCACAAAATGTCTGAAAAATAGGTTATGTCACATATGGTACATTTTTACTTTCTCGTATATACGAAGTATAGAGAAAGTCTTGTAATCGTGCAAAAAAAAATCGAGATTTTTACAAATCTCGACGTTTCACACCTCACTGATACGGAAAAACATAATTTTGCAATCTTGTCCGTATGTCTGTGTGTCTGTCTGTGTGTCTGTCTGTGTGTCTGTCTGTCTGTCCGTGTGTAAACACGATAACTTGAGTACCGTTACAGCTAGGTTGATGAAATTTCATATATAAGTATTTAATCAAAATCGTAGATCCGTATCAACTTTTGAGCGATTTCCGATAACCGGAAGTGGTACTTTTCCTACTTTGAATTTTTCAAAAGCCTATAACTTGAGTACTATTTCAGATAGATAAATGAAATTTCATACGTAGGTAAAAGATCTAATTCTCTACCTTCTATTAAATTTTGAGTCATTTCCGTTGACTGGAAGTAGTACTTTACGCTACTTCCGATTTCTCAAAAAACTAATGTAAATTTTAAAAGTAATAATAATATTGTGCACTATTATGCGCTTTTTTATTTGGCGTTCACTTGGTGTGCAATTAATTTGTCTACGAGATTTTATTCTATTTTTAAAACTTTAAGTATTTAAAATGGATTAAAAATCATGTCTATAGCCCGAGTTCCCATCCCCTGTTATTTTATATAAGAATATTCGAGAAAGTTTAGGGGAGATCACTCCCGGTTTATTTATTACACTGAAAAACTGTAGTAGCATCCAAACATAGATTATGGCGCTAAATTATATAGCTCCAAAATCTTGAATGTCATACATGTAACTGAAAAAAAAAATTCTGCTAACCTCACTGTCATTGGGGGGGACAGTGAGTTCAATTGCCATATACTAACACCCTTCTTCCACCCCCATGAAGTGTATCTAGAAACTTTTCTGGAGATGTAATTTACCATAAAGAAAATCTCTTCAAAACAAACACCACACCGTAGGTGTCAAAGGTGTACAGGGAAATTGAGAGATATTTTGGGATAAAATAATATCAGAGAATTTAAAACCTGAAAAACCTTTTGTACGACATTTAGTTCACTTGGTGAAACTACTAAATTGTTTATAAAATACTAAAACATTGACATGCAAGTTCTGTTTTTTTTTAATTTGAACCAAGTGAACTAAATTTTTTGCAGAGAACATATATCAAAAGCAGTTGTAATCAGCAAAGAAGGAAGCAACTTACCTCATCAGACTCAAAGACGTGACAGAGAATCTTGGCTTGTCTCCTGCGTCTTCCCAGCACATCGTCCGGGCTGGTTATAAGTCGGCGTCTTGCCATGATAACCAGGATGTCGCCAATATCAGCTATGTAGGATATCGTTCGCAGGGAATGATCCATCATTATTTCCTGAACAAATGCAAAAATTGTTATTTTGCATGACCAAGCCATCCTATGAAATATCTACAATCCAAATATGAACTACCCCATAAGTATTTAAGTAATATATATATGTATATATATATATATATATATATATATATATATATATATATATATATATATATATATATATATATACACACACACACACACACACAATTATTTTTTCAAGTGCAAAGATTTGTACTAACTAACCTGTAAATCTGTATTGAGAACCATTATTTTTTCAGTTGAAACAAAAAGATCAACATCAGTACTTGGCTGATTTTCACCCTCTGGAGCCTGCAAATGATCAAGCAAATAACAAAAATCATAGCAATATATTAGGATTTTCCAAACTGATATAATGGCTCAAAACCTGAAATCTAAAATATTCACAATATATCACTATTTAGTTATTAGATATATTGGTTGAAGTACAAAATCCTCCGATTGGTATATTAATATTATTAAAATTAATAATGGAATGTAGATCAACCTTTCGTTACAAAATCTTACATGATCTAAAAACTTGTTTAGGTAATAATGTTCAACAAATAAATGTCAACAATGTCATTATACACATCCACTATTTTATACATTTACAATGAAATCTCAGTAATAATGTATTCTTAATTTAAAACTTTTAGCTATAAAAAGTTATAAAAACAGTAATATTAAAATCGTAGTGTTCATATAGTTTGTTTATAATTTTGTTTTCCATAGTAAAATTGATAGTGGCAAGAAGAAAGGGTGTGACTGGATGAGATAAAATTAGCAATTTACTGCTGATATAATTAACAAATAGAACAATAAAGTTTTTAATTAAAATGCAAATGGTGTTTGGCCTATAATAATTTAAAATATTTGATGATAAAATGGAAACTTCAATGAATACTTGAGGAACACTGTATAGAGAAAACATAGCTATTTGTAAAAATAAATGTGACTAATCACTAAATAAAACTGACAAGAAACAAAAAATTTTAAAAGATTTAACAAAAAAGATCTGGCGAACACTCATGCTTTGGTAAAAGATAAAAGGGGGACAACCAATGGCTAGATTTTTTTTTAAAGTGCACATTGTTACATCAAGGGCTATAAAAATATTCTGCATTGATTTTACTTAATTTATTTCTTAATGCTAACTTCTGCAAGCACAGTAAAACATTGGCATATTGGTGTGACCAAATAAATATAAATAAGCTCTACATTAATTTTTTTTTTAAAGAATGTGAAAACATAATAACATAATTACTGCAAAAGCTTACATAGTGTGTTTCAATACTGCAGATAATGATGGCCTAGAAACTATTACATGAATGGATTGTGTCTTAGCAAGTTCAACATGCAAGACTTCTTTAAACATATCCATTTCTGCCCTCAACTGAGACTTGTGTTAACAGTTGCTATTGAGAATTAGCTGGTCCATGTTAAGTTTGCTATGCCAGTTCTTCACATTTATTACAAACCCCATTGTTAATAAGAGCAGCCGGATTGAAATAAGAAAATATACATCTAACTGTAAACGTGTAGAGAATAAATAAAGACAATTAATTTACTATACAACATGTATATAATCCTCTAGTTATAGCTACATTTTTATAACCAATTATAATTGTTACAATAGTCCTTAAATTGTAAGATTGGTGAACACAATATACTTTTTAAAACGAGAAATTTAAGTAAAATTCCTTGGATGAAAAAGAGTATAAGTAGTTGATCCCCTTGCTGTGCTAAAAAAAATTTAAAAAAAAAACTAATCTAGCTTGGACCCTTGTGTTACAATGGTTGTGTTTTTAAAAATATTACTTCTAATTTAGTTTTAATTTAATAATTATGTCTATAGCTTTTAACATTCTTTTACTATAATTGAAGCCATTTTAAAAATTTTCACATCAAACATTTTCAAGCAAATAATATATTACACAAGCCATTATAGTTGTAAAAACACTAATATATAAATAAAATAAAAGTGTGCATGATAGTAAATAACATCCATATAAATATCACGGGGTACCTGAAAGTGCTCTCCGAAATGTAAAACTCCTAACGTCTGAAATATTCACAATTTTATGATTAATAATAATATCCCTGCACTTTATTTCATCCTTAAAATTTTACATTGAAAGACTTCTACAATTACACCAAATCTAAAATCTAACAGCTTATTGTAGCAATACAAAAATGTACTTGACTAGCATGTTACATTAAAATATAGCCAGGCAAAAATATAAAATAAAAACAAAATGTTGTATAAAAAAAAAATTTAGTATTTCATTTACTTTAAAAATTAAAAGTGTGCGAACTAGTAAAAATATTTTAAACAATTTTTGTTTAAATAGTATTAAGACATTAACACATTTATATTGAGAGTTAAGCAATTAAATAAAATATCCCTGACAATTGTTCCTGTCAAAAAAAAGGTGCTTTGGTCAAGTTCCACAGAGAAGCTTTTTTAAAAATGTGCAAATATTACA